CCCAGATTGAACTGTTTTTCTATTTAGATCACTAACAATACAAGGAACTTCCATCAGTTTCATAGAAATATAGAATATTAAAGCATCATAATGTATCATCAGAACATAGAATTAAATATATAATATTTTTTGTATAAATTAAATAGCACAATCGATTGATTCGAATATATTAAATTTCTGTCGATCCTTAGACTAAATACGCTTATCTTCTGAGAAACAATTGACACTTCTTTGAAACCATAAATACCAGCAAAAACAGTGACGGAGAGTATTTTTAACACAGTTTCCTTTAATACAGCCATTCTTGAATACCTTAAAGCGTTTGTTCTTTTTAACAAAGGCATTATAACGACGTTAAAAAGAAGATAATTTCGCGCAAGGACAAACTACTTGCAATGGCTTGCGACGGATGCATAATTCGTCACACGCAGTATTAGTTTTACTGTCCACGAAGAAAAAATGAGGTCACTCGGTGGAAAAATCATTCGGACCAGCCGTTCGGTTGTCAGTAACTCCCAAGTTAAATAGTTAATTTCACTCTTCAGTGATTCACTTTGGAAAGGTGGTACGCTCGATTGATTCTAACAGTTGGTCCATTTTCTAGAGAACAGATTTTAGTTTCGTTTATTTTTCCTTTCAGTAGCTTAATCATCTTTTGTTACTATACGTAATCATATCTCATGTCTCGTGACAGTACGTAAAATACCGTGATAGTAAACTACAGAATCTTATATAAATTCATATTGTCTGGTAGTAATTAATCACAAAAAAAATACATGTATTCTGAGTAGCCATACATGCTATAAATGCATAAAATTTTCAATCTAATTTATAGTCTTATCACTGCACTGTAATATTTTATGCATTTATAGACTATACATGTATGCCCAGAGTGAAACAAAATCTATACCTTACCGACGATTTCCTTAATAAAAGTGGAGCGGTTCTGTTTATATATTATAAAACAATACCGAAGAATTTGAATTTAAAGAAAAATTTGCAATTTACTTACAAGTAGGTGTACTACGAATATTCATACATTCATCACATCTTAGTTCATAAAATCTAGTGAACAAATAATTTTACGAAAATTTAATACCATTTACGTATAATTGTTACACAAAAACGTGTTATACAGAAAATAAGATTCGGTTCGAGTTCTTTATATCAGTGTCCAAATATATGAAAGAATTGTCAATTTTTACTGAAAAGATGAATTTCAGTATATTTAGTGCAAGGATCTACAGAAATTTAACTTATTTTAATCATTGGCAATCCACTCATGACATTTTATCGAGGGAAGTAATCGAAGAGAAAGAAAGCGCGTGTGTGCCGTTCGGGAGGAAGTTGGAATCAGCTCACCTTCGTAATTCTGGTTTTATCGAGGTGGCCCCTACCAACGCCGCCTCCTGAACCTCCACCAACTCCTCGAGGTCCGCCCACAACGCGTGCTCCTTCATTCCCTTCGCTCCATCCCCGCGAACTCCCACGCCACGTGCTCTCGTCCTTCTTGCCTCGCTGTTTCTTTTGGTCCACCGGGAAACCACGCATCCTCCATCCATCACGAGCATCTTCATTCACGACTCCTTCGTCTGATGAGCCTCCTTTCGTAATGTACAGGGTGATCGCGAACTAGTCTTGGGTCAAGTAAGAAATAAATGAAGTCTAATGTTGATATAATGCAATAAGTTACAATTAGTAGTAAATTTAGAAAAGTAGAAGAGACCTTAAGTGTGACATAATTTCATATTACTATCACCTGGGTGACGTCTAATAGAAATCACTCTGAAATTACGTAACATTACCAGTCAACTTTATTGTTACAAATACTATAACCCTTTTTACATCATCCGAACATTCGAAGCATCAGCCGCTTTTTACCCGATTCCAGTTACTGCAATTATACTATTCGAGTCACGGTTCGACAGACGCGAATCGATTTAGCCTAGAATCCTACGATTCATTGTTGTACATTCTGCTGCTGTGGCCGGGATTCTTTTCGCCTGCTTTCGGGCAGTTGTTGCCGGGGCTATTTTGCATGAGTTCTTTCGAAATTCCACGGTTTTTCTTCTCGGTCCCAGAACTGTTACGTTACGCCTCCGTAACTGTACACGCCTCTGAGTCACAGTTTAAAGGATAAAGAGTGATCGACGCGGCGATTTATTTCTTCATGGTCAAGTGATGTAGAGAAATGTGAGAACTGTTTGTTTCACGCTTCGGGCAGCTCTCGGCTTGGTGAGTCCAGTAGATACGCTCGTTCCATCGACACGACATTTTTCCGAGGAAACGCGGGTTCGGGAACCATTTGCGTTGCGCTTTCTACTTTCTAGATGCCCCTCGTAATTCAGTTCGTAATGACTCAGTCGTAAATTCGATTACTTTTGAGCCCAGTCATCTGGGGTACGTCAGATAAAACGTTTAAGGACATGGATTGTTCTTATTAGAAAATTTATCCGAGACCAGGACACTTTTGTACGAGACACAAAAACGGTGACAATTGACATTTAGCGAGGTAACACTTATTTCTGTAATAAATCAAATTAAAGTTGGTTTAAGTCAGGTCCAGGTTTTAAAGTCTGGGTCGAGTTGTAGATATGTCTTTCAGCATTTAGTGTACAGTCATTGATAGGATTTTTAATGCATTTCTCGCATACACGAGTGTCTAAGACTCGATACAGTTGAATATTCGAAAAACTTCACCGAGTCTTTTATTCCTGTTGAACCTCATAAAAAACTTTAATAAGGCAAAGAAATTTTAAGTAATAATAATTAATCTTCGTATTTACATACATGTGTTCATAGACTTGCGTATACATTCGAAGAAGTAATAGATTTCATTGCATGGTACCCCACAGTGCTGTCCTCCCTCTAATTCGTCGTATCAAACACGAGGAACACCGAGGTCCGGCTCATTACAGCTGTCGCGCGTTAACGCGAAAGACAGTAGCCCGTTCTGCTGGCGGTGAAACGACGACACGCCTCGTCTGCGTGGCAAACCGGGGAGCCTCCAGTATACAAAGCAGACCTCTATCGGTCGGGGATCGCGCGAAATAGTACGGTTACGACGTGTTTTATGATACGCCGCGGGTAAGTGCAACGCGCGTTCCTTTCTAGCGGCAAAGTGGCAAAACCATCGTGATAAAGGAACGCCAAAGGCCCGAAGGCAAACCGCGCCAATGGCACCTGCAATCCTCCGAATGGCGCAAAAGGTAACGCAGCCCGCAAGAAGGGGAAATCCATGGCTGCGGCGGTTTTTCGTTTCCTCGAGGTCTTTTTGCCCGGGCGGCAGCGTGCCCGGCCGCGCCTAGGCCAAGAGATAGTTTCATCTCCGCGTTATAAAACAGTAATCTATGGTCTCCGTGGCGCACGGTCTGCCCAGAGGTCGAGAACGACCGGAATCCCTGGCCGGCTTTCGAACGCGGCAGACGGTTATTCCCGAGGTATTCGAGGAATATTCGCTGCGGAGAAGTCGCGAGATCGTTTCGATCTGGGATCGATGCTGTGCTTCGGGGTCGTTTGCGCGAGGATATGTAAATTGTTAGACCGGAACTGTTGGAAAGATACTAAATTGGCAGTTCTCGAAACGTACTCCTCACGTGGACCTAATTCTCGCACTTACGGCTTAATACGTTGTCCATCGAACGACAAAGAGGACGTTGAAACGCCGTGGAAACGAGTAATCGTGCAATTTCGTCGGCGCCGTTCTCGCGCGCGACAGACTCATGCTGCGAGATGGGTCGAGCCGTTGGGTTCCAATACCACTTTGAACGCGTGATGGACGAAAAAAAAGTCCTCCGAGTGGTCGCGGAAAGCTCGGTAGCAGTCATCCCGCTGCGAAGTTTTCTCGTTTTCAACGTTTTGACGTGCCTCCGCGTACTGAGTGGCATGGAATAATGCGTGACCGTTCCCGGGGACCAATTAAATCTCTCCTCAACGAGATCTCCTTCATTACGGACTGTATTGATTTAATTATAGTGCCACGATACGGAGGTATAGCGCAGTAGGATTACAAGGATTGGAATTCCGTTTTTTCCTTTATCGTGAAAATTCTACTTCTGGATTGCCTCCCCTTTTCTCCGGTAACCATTTTACGGTCGAATCTTTAATCCTCGATAATTTGTTAATTGGCGACGCTGGATCATTTTTTATTTTTACGATTTTTGTAAGTTTTAAACTAAAGACAAAATTGTGTTTCAGAATGCCTAAAGACAACTATCGTATAAAACCTGCAAGAAACTGTTTAGCCAACCCAACGTAATTAAACAATTTCTCAAGTGATTTGTAAGGGACAAATGTGAAGCTTGAATTTTCTTTCATTCCTTAATGATTTTATTATTAGGAGAATAAGACAGAAAATATATTAGATCCGATGTTAACTTTACCATTGGTCACATATCAATAATATAATACAAAATGTAATCTATTACACAAATGCATATAAAAGGCAACAGCTCGCTTCCATTCCCTTGATTTACCAACGTGCCTCTAATCAAGAGAGTATTCGCGCGCGACAGGACGCGCGACCAGGGAAGCTGTATTAGTTAACCTTGTCAGATGGGTAGGTAGCTACCTTCTAGCTGGTCGTGCATGCTAAGTAGCGTCTTCGTGGGTGGTGCCCCCGGCTACCACCTACGGTTGCACTCGCGGAGCACGTGGTATTCGTCGATCGATCGATCGATCGATCGATCGATCGATCGATACGCGTTCCATCCCCGAGTGATGGGAATTGCTACCCCCTCTTGCATAAAGTTTACAGTAATCCCTGCCATTTTGTAGAATTAATTCGTCCCGCTCGAATCCTTGAACGATTTGATTAAAATCTTGCCATTGGCTTCATTCGAATCCACGGTTCGGACATCTAGGGCGGTCCCTTTAATGACAGTAGGTAGTAGCCACAGTGGGTGGCGCTTGCATCTGCATTTGTTCGATTCCGCCATTTAGGCGTCTACATTAACCTGTTATCAATTCCTCGATCTAACGACGTATTCGGTCTGTTACAGGGTCGGAGAAGAATGGTTTCCCCGAGGCTGGTGTCTCCTACGCGTCCTCGATTGGTGAGTTAATGACAAAAATGATTATCGATTAATTAATCAGGATAAATAACATTAATCATATTTATATGTACCACTTTGTGAACACAGAAACTCATTTCTTCGTCAAATAGTTCCACCAGATAAAGAACAACCGAAAATATCATTCAAATCTCTTAAAGTATCACCTCTATTCCATTTTACTCCATCGTATCAGCCATAAATGTATTAAAATCCCTACTAAAGTTATTATCTTAATCTACCCACCAAACACAGAGGATACTACTTACCGGTACTAGAATTCCACTGCACTAACTCACGCTAGGATCACACGAGCATTAAACGCGTTACAATCGTCCAATTCCCCTCGAACAACTCTCTCCCATTCATCTAGGGTCGTCTAGATTTTATCTTTAGTAAAACCGCAGTGTATCGTAAAGACACCACCGCAAGACGAGGAGCAACGATGCGCTACCAGACCGATCGGCCTGGACGATCGTCCCAAGAAAATGAGGGCCTCTCCTATGGCTAATCGCGCGTAACGCGGCCACGTATCCCAAATAAAGTGGCTCTGACACCCTGGAATCATCGTGTATCGATCTCCAGGTTGAGTGAGAGAGAGAGAGGGAGAGAAAGGGTCGTGGTCGACGCGCAAACGAAACGATTAGGGCCCGACGATTATTCCCCGGGTCCTACGGAGGAGTTAACCGGTCGTAGAAGTAATAACGCCCGGCAATCTGGCCCGGCAATCAATGAGTACGTGTTTATGTAAATCGAACGTGCCACGACACGAACCACGCGAGCAACTTTTCCTATGCAGGCCCAAGAGGGACCCAAGCCGGGCCCCGGGGGTTGGAATGCTTTGTTATCTCACGAGGAAGACGACATATCCTAGCTGCACGCAAGCCCCCTCGCCGGTGACCCTACCCGCGATGACGGATCTAGCAGTTCCGCGAAAAACGTTCTGCATCGTGTCCTGTAGCTCCTTCGGGTTTAATCTTATCTTGGGAAAAGTAGTCTTGTGAATGAATATTAGTGCATGAACATTGGTATCTTCTATTGCTATTGTAACGAAGAATTAGATTCTTGCAGAATTATATTGCCCCATTTAGCTGAATTTTCCTAACACTTTCAAAGTGAGCTTTTATAATTCTATCATTTCAAAATAATTTCACAACTCGAAAGTGCTTTTTCACACACCCTCATATACCCTAAATCGACTCTCTGAGCTCATTCTCATAATTATCCATCGCTATCACTCGCGAACGTTGTTTCACCCATCAAACAACCGACACAGCCTCCAATACATTCAACCCGATCGCTCCTAAACACTCCCCCGGCGCTCTTCTAACAGTCACCGTGTTCGAAACGCCCGTTTCTCGCGCGAGTAGCTGACAATCCAGCGGTAGTAACTCTTCCTGATCGACGATTATCTGCAGTAAATTGCACCGTCCACCGTCGTCCAGTGTACCACGTCTGGCTCCGCGAGCCCGGATGTAAAGCAGAATAATTGTAGTCGTTACTTTGTTAAACAGGGTTTCGCCACCGCTGTGTCCCCTCCCTCCCTTCGACCCCTCTTCGTCCACCCTGTTGGCGAACACAACGCGACGCTATAACATTTTTAGTAGCAGCCCAGGCAAAGGGCGTTATTGGTAGCCTTGGTACTCGTGTGTTGCGTCTCCAACGCTCGACGCGCCCGGGTGTCGTTAACGGCGTGAAATTGCAGCGCTCGTGGCATTTGTTTGTCGTGGACCCTGGCGAGAACCACCATTCGACCGGTCGAACCGTCCGTTTAACCAGAACGAATTGCACGACCAGGCCCGGTGGGTAATGATAGGTATGCTAGAAATCGTTCACGTGGTAGCCGTGTCACTTTTCCCCTCCCCCTTGTCCTCCTCCTCCTATCTGGTGTGTGTGTCCCTGTTTTTAGGTGCCTGGCAGCTGCCTGTCGACTTATCGACGTGACGACGTCGATCGGTTTTATGGAAAGTGCTCACGCGCGCGAACATTTTGAGGGACACTGGTGAGCTATCGATAGTCACGGACGCCGTGGACGGCTGTAACGTTTCGACGTCACGAAACATAGCACCACGACAACGATGCAAAGCAGTCCCGGGCGCAATTTATGAAAGTGGCACTTGAGGGCCCCGCGGTCGCTTTATTTGCTGTCCCCACGGTGAAAAGTTTCACCGTTTTGCGGTCCCGACCATCGAAAGGCTGTGTGCCGTTTGCGGTTACGTAAAGATTGTTTGGTAGTGCGAACGGATTTCGGGGAATTTTGGTTGCGTTGGGAGTGGAACGTGGTCGTGGTAGCCACGGGAGCAATGGACGTTGTTGATGATGGAAGTTTTCGGGGGGGGATAAGTAGTTGACTTTAACGTTTGTGGATGCAGGCAAGTGCTCAGTTAGTGATAGATTTTGAATGCTTTTGGTCTTTGGATGTTTAGTTTTGAACATTCGGCATTTGGCTATTCGATGTTTTGCTGTGCATAATATGTATATGTAGAGAGTAGAATAGATACTATGTTACAGTTACCAAACTGGACCAAATGACTGTAAATCACTCAAAGACCACTAAATTTTGCTGAAAGTTCGTCATTTTATTGTAATGTATACAGTAGTAAATTAACGAGTTTATCAATTCGTAGGTTATCCAAAATCTATCCTAGTGTAACCTTTATGATAGAAACAGGAACAAATAAAATTTTAAATTTAAGAAAGTATGTCTCTGGCTGAAAGTATGGAAATTTCCCTTTGCAATTAAAACTAATGCAGAGACTTTTAACGACTACGTATGAATGTATCTGAAACTATTTTTGCAATTAAGATTTCAGCGTTCGAGTCAGTCACTTCTAACTGCTATCGATGATAGTAAAGAATAGTCCCTGTAACCTGATCAGCGTACACCGTGCCATAAGATACTGCAACGTTCGTTTGCGCATCTCAATGTTACGTTACAACGGACGTAGCTCTAACGAACGTTACCTTAACGGCCCAAGTTTAAGGTCATGATCGCACGACCGTTGAGATAACGTCCGTTATAGCGCAACATTGAAGTGTATGCAAGCAGTTACTCGGCCGACGTTCGTTGGATTGTATAGTATAGTGTAACCGACCGAGACTGGTACTATCACACACATGCGCAGGAATTCATGTGATCGAATGGGTAGATCCACAGCATCGATCCCATATCGACCTATCTCTAAGCTAATTATCGCTTCTTTATTAGAGTTTTACGAATTACAAAAAAACTTCCTTGATTATTCGGAGAGTATAAATACTATAGTGATCAGAAGCTACTATTCACCTTATTCTCGTGTACTATCAGGAATTAATCTTTAAAGGACAGGCAGGTTTTTTTATGACTTTTCATATGTTCATACTATAAAAAATAAGCGACCCCTCCGGAATCTAAAAATAAGCTTCTCGTCATCCACAGATTAAGTTAGGAATAAGTTTGCTTTAATTGGAAATCAGTTCAGAAAAATTCGAATTGCAGCTACTTGCTTCCAGATCAGGAATCATATCAGAACCAATTAATAGGTATTGTACACAATCCTTCTGAGAAAATCGAACAACGTATACCGGTTTATCTTCATTCCTAGTACAATCATTGCTCCTCTACTCGAGTTTCACAAATTCTATTAAAAATCGCTTGTTGCTTTTGAAATGCATGAAAGCTTGAAGCCAGTCGATTCATATTGATTCGTTTCGCGAGACCACGGGAATTCAGTTCGTAAAGTTAACACGGCCGCGTTCCATCAGTCAACGAGAGATCGGACGCGTAGTCGACGTCGTGACCGGAGCAGACGCAACGGAATCGCATTGTCGTTCGTCGAATGGGAGCCGCCAGAGCCCGATCAATTATGCCGGTCGATTCCAGGCCACGAAATGTCAAGGCTCCGCCTCGATGGAATTCTAAGCCTCATCCTCGATGTCTGAATATCGGGCTCCGAACCTGATACATGTGTACTCATCGCATGATCGTCATTGATAATACCCAGGTTGATCCCCGACTGGAATATCGATTCGATCTCCTTCTGCGCCGAGAAACGCATCGATTCCACCGTAATTAGGTTCGCCGGAGAGGAAAGCCTCTTTCAGTTATAAGCGGATTTTTTCAGGAATCCCGATTGCGATCGGAGATTTATGTCTGTCGCGGGACTTAGGGTGGTCGGTACTGATGGTATTTGTTTTAATAATGTCGGCAGAAATATTACTGTTACGTACGGATCGACGTTGTTTCATCCTGTTTGTTATGATGATGGGTCTAGAAAGACAGGAGATTTCGAATTCAACTTACATCTTGTTTTTGATTTTTCAACGTTAATACTGCTCCATTATGGATACTTGAATGTTGTTTCCATTCAAAATGGAAGCAAGCCAGCCAATCAAACATTCTAATCCACGCTCGATTTTCGCTTCAACCCGTTAACTCGCAAATGAACGATCCGCACAGTTTGCTGCTTTGGGGTCGGGGAACCTCCCGGAAAGACAGTCCCATCCGTGAACTCCTGGCACCGCGGATAAGCCGCGGCGTCACGTACCTCGCGATGATGCAGCCGGGGCGTATAGGCGAGGCCAGATGTAACTACTCGCACGTACGCACACGCGTGCGTGTGCCAAAGTATAATAAACATAATCGCGGTAGCACGATGAGAGAGGAGGCCTTGGCTGTGTCCCCCTTCGGTCGTGGCTGCGGCACGCCCACCATGGCTACCATCGTGCCCGTGCAAAGAGAAAATACAGCCGTGGCAATCAACGGTTTTACACCTGAGCATCTACACGTAGGTCGAAGGCGGCCCGGGTAAGCGAAGCCAGAGGTTAAGGAAAGGATGGAGAAACAGACCAGATAACTTCCTCCCCTCGTACTCCCCCTAACCGCTTCCTCTTTCTTCATTCTCCGCTGCCCGTTGCTTCTGATCGCCCGGCGAGCTGCCTTGCCTCGGCTTGTGCATCGGGCTCGATAGGACCGAGCACGACCTACGCTGAAGGATTATCGACGGTGCATCTTTCGATACGCT